AGTATCTTTTCAAAGTCCGCCGTACTCACGGTAGCGTGTGGGAAGGTGTAGTTTCTTACTGTTACCAATCGCGCCAACAAGTAATTTTCCACTAATTTCTACGTACATTTGTCCGTCATTTATGTGTGGTTTAGGTTTCTCATTTCATAGTCAGATGGCTATACCGGGTTGTTGTTGAAAATATGACCATTTGGGGCAAGTGTCCTATTCCGCTGTGGGGTAAAAGTCCGCGCGGACTCTTGCCCCAAATCCTTGCATTTTCACGAATGTTACTCTAATAAATTTGGTTCCACGTTTTTTTTTTGTTAATTTTTAGGAATTACAAGCGTAAAACCGAAAGAAAAAACTGTACTGAAGAAATTTTGGAGCTAGCTAGAAATAAATTACGTCAGGGAAATTCTATTCGAAGCGCTGCAAAGGATTTGGGAGTAAATGAATCTACTTTACGAAAGCGACTTAAGTCAGGGAGGGGTGCAACTTCCCTTGGACGATTCCAGAATGTTTTCACTGAAGGGATGGAAAACGAATTAGCTGAACACTGCAAAAATTTAGATAACCGGTTCTATGGTCTCTCATTTAAGATGATTAGAAAGGTTGCGTATGATTACGCAGAAATGAACAATGAAATCAATCCTTTCTCTAAAGTGTTAAAATTGGCAGGGAGGGACTGGGCATACAGATTTATTTCTAAACACAATCTCTCCTTAAGAACGCCAAACCCTACTAGTCTAGCGAGAATTATGGGTTTTAATCAAGTGCAAATCAATGGTTTTTTCGATAACTTAGCCAGCCTGTATCAAAAATTAAGTATTTAACATGGATGAAAGCGGAATTTCTACGGTCCCAAACAAAATTCCGAAGGTACTGAGCATAAAAGGCAAGAAGATTGTAGGTAAAGTTTCGTCTGCTGAGCGGGGAGATACAGTAACAATTGTATGTGCAGTAAGTGCTGCAGGAAATTATATACCGGCCTTGATTTTTCCGAGAAAGAGATTGAAAAATGAGCTAATGGATGGTGCTCCTCGCGAATCTATTGCTATGTGTTCCGATTCTGGTTATATGAAGAGCAACCTCTTTGTAGTCTGGCTCAAACATTTTCAGTCAAAAACTAGACCAGATGAAGAACATCCGCATATACTCCTCGCATATGTCACTTGAGGCTGTGATGTTCTGTAGGGAATACAACATCCACATGTTGACAATTCCACCACACAGCAGCCACAGGATTCAGCCTCTTGACCGCTGTTACTTCAAATCGCTTAAAACATTTTATTCAGAGGAATGTGACAAATGGCTTCTGTACAATCCAGGACGATGTATAACTCATTTTCAAATCGCCAAAATTCTCGGAAAAGCTTACGAACGTTGTTCCACTATGGAGAATTGTGTGAAGGCATTTGACGTCTGTGGAATTTACCCAATTAATAGAAATGTATTTTCCGAGGAAGATTTCTTGACCTCCTGTGTAACTGACGTAAATAATGCGGAATTGAATACGAACACATAAAAAGAGCAACAAAAACACTACGATGTCGAAGTGGACTCCAGTTCTGACGACAATCTTGAAAGCACAGTTCCTCTTAGTGTTTTACGGAATCAGTTAAGCAACCAATTCCTGACCCCTAACAAGCTTAACACAAGTAAAGTTTTTAAGCAATACGAAGCGTCCGAACAGACTGTTGAAGATCTCTACCACATGCCCTCAACTTTTCGTAACGATTCAAGCTCTGGTCCCATTCCATCAACTTCACATGCAACCGTAGAGAAGCACTCTGTCACTCCAAAAGATATTGTTCCTCTTCCTAAAAGAAGAGAGGAGCAAAAAAGGAGAAGATTGGGAAAGAAGTCAGAAATATTATCCAGCACACCGTTCAAGGAAAAACTGGAAGCAGACAGAGATGAGAAGGCTAGAAAGGAGGCAGGAAAGAAATGCAAAGTGTTTCTTTACAATAAGCGTGCTCAGACCAAGAAAAGAAAGCTTGAAACTACCGCTGTGCGACAAATATGTTTGAAGTGTTTATATACGATGGGACTCTTGCCCCTATATTATTTGGACTCTTGCCCCACTGTTGGGGCAAAATGCCGATTATGAATTTCTAAGAATGTTATTTTATGTTTGATATTTTATGTACTCTACATTGAAGATATTTATTTAGTTAAGAGTAATGTTCATTGCATCATATCCCACCAAATTCGCATCGATATTGTTAGTTACGCGGAGAAAAAAAAAGTTAAACTGTTAGGTGCGTTGTCTTGCCCCATGTTACTCTACCTCTACTGAATGTAATACCAACAAAGTGCTTGCATCATTTTCATCGTATCTCTTCTTTTCTCTGGGTATTCGTAACAATGACCCAGTGCTTAAACACATTGAGGAATTTTTCATTAAATTTCTGAATAACATTTTTCGCCTTTCCCATAACATTGCACCAAGTCCTTTTTTTGCTGTAAAGTAAGCATTTGTCATTTTAAGCTGACAATACTACGGCTAATAAAGTATAAAGGCGTCAATAAAGCTTGTCACTATCAACGCCTACTAGTACAAAAATGATCACAAATAAATAAAAGTAGGCCGATTTTTTCGAAAATTGGTATTATAGACTACTTTTTACTTTTGAACAACTTTTCCTAGTAATTTATTTCTATATCTTTTCAAATAAATGCACTTTACTCTTGTACCATTTAAAGTTTTTTCAATTTTCTGAACACCGTGTATAAAATATGTTAAATGTTTTTATCCTAATCTTACTCTAAGAACTAGCAACATTTTTTATCAAGATTAACTTTTTTCGATAAAATCAAAAATAAAAAAGTTTTTCCTATTCAACACCTTTTCTGTGGACATACTGTATATTGGCTATTCTTTTCGGGACCTTGGCTTCTACCAGATAATGATTGCTATCACAATTTGTGAATTTGTACGTATTTTTGTTCCTCCAACAATTGGTCGATTTGATTCGTCCTTTAGATCTATGGTCGTTTAAGTTCAAACAATTTGCAACATTTATCCAAAATTAAAAATATTTTTTATTATAGACAGAATTCTATTGATACATAAACTACATTCGAGCTATTACACCAATGATGGCGCTTATCAATGTAATTAAACTTTCAACAATTCCTTAAAATTATTTCGATAAAAACGTCAAAAAAAATTTAAGAACAAAGATTATTACTAAAAATGATTTTGCTTTGTTATAAATAACTTCTAAAAGCCTATCACAACGTTATCAACAGTACACCTGTTCGTTAGTGTTTATCAAAAATAAAATCTATTTCATAATAATAAAAAAAATTCTCTAGAAAATAGTCATCGATTCAATCAGACAATTGAACAATTATTATTGAAAAATTAATGTTATCGCGCACTTCAGATAAAAAGGGAATCTGATTTAAATGTTTTTAATATTGCCACAAAAATCATTCTTATCAAGAAATAAATTTTGACCGTGAAATTAAATGTTAGTTCGATTAAGTTAAGTTTCGAGCGAAATGGGATCTAACAAAAAGAAGAAAATTTCGGGGAAAATTAAAGATCCTTTAGCTGTTACGTGGAGTGAGAAATACGATGATCAAATTCAAGGGGTTTGGAAAAAAATTCCAAGATTTGTTGCTACTTTTTTAGTAACAATAGCTGTTTGTACTATGGGGTTGGCAATAAGTGGTAAGTATTTTTTTTTTTTATTTGATTTTATTTCATTATTTAATTTTTTTTAGGCGATTGGTTAAACATTTTGGTCCATTTAATGAAACAATTCAACATTGAATTCCCCGAAACTCTCAAAACTAATTCATCATTAGACAACATTTTGGAAACATTAAAATTAAAAAATTTATGGTCTTTTTGGATCGGATCCGTTATTTTTAGTTATGCAATTTATGTAATAATCGGAGGATTTTTACATGTAAGCCAACAAAACTCTTTTGTGTTTAGTTTAATATTCGTTCAATTTTCCTTGCCAAATTTTCGCATTTATTACAATTTTTTTTGTGAGTTGAGCCAAAAAAATAACACAATCTCTTGTTATTACAGTGGTATTTCTATGTGAGACAACGAGATAGACCTGAAGAATGGAAATGCCAACCAAATAAATGGATGTCACCCGAATTAGAACGACATGAGATCATCTTTGGGTCGCTAAACTTAATGGTTAATGCCAGCATTTCGGCTGTAGTTGCTTGTTATATTAGTAATGGTGGATATAGTACGGTTTATTATGGATTTTCTGATTATCCTTGGTGGTGGCTAATTTTGCAAGTTCCCGTTGTTTTTATTTATCAGGTGAGAAAATGTTATTTTAAAAAAATTGAGTCAAATTTTCGTTATTTTTTGGCTCCTTTCCTAAAACTTTTGTCACAAATGATAGATTAACCTAGATAACGTAGTAAAAAGCAGGTGTTGTTTCTCACTTGAACTAATTTATCTATTTGCACCACCTCATCCAATTATTTTTATTCATTTATAATAATAATAATAATATTTCACTTTATTGCCCAACAAAGATCAATTACAGGACAATATTACAAGAAAAAGAAAATAAGGAATAACACATGCCATAAAACAAATATAATTCACATAAACACTCTTACACTATTATTGATTGTTAGTTAGTTTACACATCCTCTGCACCGGGGAAGTTGGCTAAAACATTGGATCTGCAATTCCTCAAATAAAACTGATCTGTACTACGTGTAGCGCATCACGCACTCTTATTATTTTTATATAGAAACATCATGTTATATCACCATGGGTTGTTATATCAACATAATGTATTTTCCCATGGCGATTTTGTTATAGTCATAAATCATAAAATAATAAATAAACTGGTAGACACACATAAAACAGTCTATCAAATACTCCATTTTTAATTTTTAATATTTTATTGTACGATTAATTAATATAGAGTTACAAATAAATATACTCTTCTATGCTACGTGTTGCACGCGTAGGCACCGCGAAAATGATCCGCGACAACAACCAACCACAATCCAATTTACCTTGCACTAACTTCTGCAAAAACTTGATGCACTGGTCATCTCTTCTTACGTCTAGTGCAGAAAAGTTGTGACGCCGCAGCAAGGATGCGTAATCCATTCCACGATCCGGGTATGATCCGTCCAGGCGTAGAGACAAATATTTGAGAAATCTCCTCTGAATTCTCTCCAACATAAGTCTATGACACACATAATGTCGCGACCAAATTACAGAGCCATATTCCAATTTGGACAATACAAAGGTCGATATCAGAAAAAGCACGCGAGGTGCGCAAAACGAAACCAAGCATCCTCGCTGCAGAAGATGCAATATTTTCGATGTGAGGTACAAAAGACATTTGCGGTCAAAAGTTACTCCCAGATCCTTGATTGTAGATAGTTTCTCAAAAAGAACACCTTCTATATAATAAGAAGATGGAAGAGGAGACAGCTTGCGTGTAAAACTAACCGCACCGCACTTATTAGCATTAATCTTTAGCTGATAACGGTTACACCATTCCACCAAGACGTCCAAATCCGACTGAAGACTGACAACATCACGGTCCGCAAAAATAGGTCGGAATAGTTTCAGATCATCCGCATAAGCTAGTACGCTTGATGAAAATTTGTCTAGAAGGTCATTCAAGAAGATAACAAATAGTAGATTTGAGCCCTGAGGAACACCAGACCTAGCCGTAAACTCCATAGACGCATAACCGTTGTAGTACACATAATTTATACGACCCGATAGGTAAGAGGCAAATAGTTTCATAAACTTAGGAGATAAGCCAAAAGCACCAAGTTTATACAAGAGGACGTCATGATGAATCATGTCGAATGCTTTAGAAAAATCTACCTGACCGCCCCTATCCAAAGATTCACAAATTACCTCAGTAACCACCGCGAGGTTGGTAATGGTCGAACGACGCTTGATAAACCCATGTTGATATGGTGACACAAATGACTGAACCTGTGGATAAATCATCCTGTAAATACACTGTTGGAAATAATTCACGAGCACACCCTGTATAATCTGAACGTGTGTGTCTAGCGCAATAAAATTTGGTATGGTGTAACTTATTCTCACATGGAGAGCGGCATAACTCTGCTTGGAGGAGAAATATCAATAGCGAGAGTATCCCCCGTGACCTTCGCGTACCATCGCTACACGACGTGGCATGGAGTCTATAAGTCGCTGTACTGTAGCGAGAGGGATGGTCAACCATGCCACCTCAACTCACCTCCATAGCTCCTCAACGTTAGCCAAGTAAGCCGGATAACGTAGAAGTCTCCGACCAGTCATGTCCCAAACATGTTCGATCGGATTCAGATGCGGAAACCGAGCTAGCTATGGAAGCACTCTTTCACAAAGGTCTGTACAACACGCCCGATGTGCTGTCGTACGTTGTCGTGCATGTATAGCAGAAGCACAACGGACCGTAGCACCTCATCTACGTATCGTTGACCCGTCATGGTCTGCTATACACGCAGCGGACGTGTACGTCCACCATATGTAATCGCACCCCATACCATAATGCTCGGTTGTCGGTGGATAGGGCGTTCTTGCACATACTGCTCGAGTAGACGATCACCACGGCTCCGACGAACTAAAATTCGCGCATCACCGGTGCTCAATTCGAATCTTGATTCGTCGGAAAACAAAATGTCCCTCTACTCGGCAACCTACGAATGCATAGCGTCGACCCACTCGTGACGTATGCTGCGGTGCTCGGGTGTTACTGGAATCCGCTGTATCGCACGACGCGCTCGCAGTCACACTATCTACCAAAAAACTACGCGAACTGTACGGCGGACAGTTCGCGTAGTGAGTGCGCCTTCCCATGCCGGTGGCAAAACAGCTCCAAGTTGTCTTGAGGAGGACACACACGACGCTAAAGCGCTGAGCACAAGAGCGCGATCCTCGTGTGCTGGGGACGCGGCTGAAGGTACCTATGTCCTACCTCAGACCATTCTCGCCATGCCCGTTACAATGCCGATAACGATCGCTCGAGACGACGCGCAATTTCACAGAACGATACACCCTCAATGTGCATACACCACACTAAAAACGACCGGTATTTTCTATCCACTTCGGTCTCCATAGCGACGGAATGTTCCACTTGAAAGGGTGGCTCAGACAACAATGCCGCGACGGAACAACTCGAAACTCCCTGAATAAACTCGTATACAGTAAACCTTTGTGCTCCGCAAATATTATGGACTTATCTTCACGCGTTCAGATTATACAGGGTGTGCTCGTGAATTATTTCCAACAGTGTAATCCGTTCAAATACCTTAGCGAAATTGGACAATAACGATATTGGTCGATAATCAGTAATGTTGGTACGTTCGCCATGCTTGAATACAGGAACAATGCGTGAGCGCTTCCAAAGTTTAGGAAACGAGCAAGTGCTTAAGGATAAGTTAATTATTAAATGAAGCGGAACTGCAAAAACTGCACAGCAATCACGAATGAAAAATGCAGGAAGATCATCATCACCAGCAGTTTAGGAAATGAAGAACCTCTTCTTCGGTGACATCGGCAACAAATACTGGAGGATACGTAGAATGTACATCAACCATGTTATAAGCAGAGGCACCAGAATATAGTCCAGAGAATTGATCTGCAAAAGCTTTAACTATTTTTTCAGAATCAGTGTAGGTGGACTTATCACGCATCATTTTTCCAGGAAGTCGAGAGGTCGTTGTTTTCTGTCTTATATAATTCCAAAAGTTACGGGGATCAGAACTAAGCGATTGTTCAGCACTAATAGTAAAGGAAGTATACGCATCAGAGATTTTCTGTTTAGTCAAACATCTCAGTCTTTTATATTCCGCTGAATAGAAAGCACTATTGCTTCTCCTCCACTTCCTCCTATAATACTCTTTCAACTTTAATAGCCGCTTAATTTCTGGGGTGTACCAAATAGGGTATGAGGATCCACGACTCAATCTCTTAGGAACAAATAAATCCAAAATCTCATACAACTTTTTATAAAAAGCTCGCAAAGCATCATCCGCATTAACCTCCACATTTAGAAAAGACCAATCCGTGTAAAGTAGTTTATCATACATGCCAGGAAAGTTGGCTCTTCGAAAATTATATCGACCACCCAAAGACGGAAAGTTCGGCAAACCATCATTTGCCGTCAGTAAATTCATTGTAATATCTAAGGCAGGATGGTACTGATCCTCGTAGACGAAGGGACAATCATCATGAACAAGATCAAACTGATGGTCAGTATTTGTCAGAACCAAATCCAATAGACGATTGTCACAGTTCAGTACATGATTGAGTTGGCGAAGGTCCAGAAAATCACAAAAGTTACGAAATAACTCCGTTTTTCCACATTTGGTTGACATACCAGG